ATTGAAATGCACAGCCTGGGGCATGGGGGAGCAAGCAAAAAAAGAACAGGCCATTTATTTACCTCCCCAAATATGCTTCCCTGTGTCAACCTTCAAGCAGCCAGTTTGAGAACTGCTGGCCTCAGTGACATGTCCTGGATCTCACACAGAACATCACTGCAAAGGCTGAGAACATGGAGCTGCCTCCTCTGTGCAAAATGCACTGCTCAGAGGAGCCTCTGACCATCTTGACAGACATGCAAGCACTCCCCGAAAAAGAAAACAGTTCTGTAACAAAAGTAACAGTCCCACTGTTTTGTTTGCATTACAAATAAGCACCTGAGGTGTCCCGTGGGACCCAGACTTTCCAAAGCAATCTGCACTACTCCAACACATGTGTGACAGTATGTGCTGCAGACTCACCTCCAACAAACACAGGGCAGGTCAGGAAGATGTATTATGGGGTACAGTTTGATGTGAGCATCTCAGACAGCTTCAGGACATGAACTATGTCTTGGATCTTTAAGATCTTTCCTTTGATTGTTGAAGAAAGCCACAGAGGTGGGAACAGTGCACAGTAACCTCCAGAACTGCATGTTCTCACTTGCCACCCTCTCTCACCTTGTCCACAAAGTCTGTCTTCAATCCTAACATTCACTGGCTCTTGTTGGGTTTTGATCACAAGTTCTTCAAGGTGAAGATTCTGTCCTTTACAGGCATAGCATGCAGGCAGCTGCACAGAGGAAGCAGGCCCACAATGCTGGGGCTGGCCAAGGAGGCTTCAGAGCACCTCTGGTGGGACAAGATGGATCAAACCACTCTCCCCATTCTCATATCCACAAGACAGCACAATGCAAAGAGCTCAGACCAGTCTGCCAGTGTCAGGAAGGGGAACTCTGTGCCCTGAGTAAATGGGATCTTACTGCTTAAGGCCTTCCACTTACAGGCCTGAACATCCCATATCTACGAACAGCAGCATTGTGGCTTGTCTACAAAGCAAAAATCCTGCTCCCAGCTTTGTCACTGGGAAGAGAACATGACTCAGGTAGCCCTACTGTGGCAGCATCTGCCTAGGACAGTCACACTGCAGAGATGTCCTCTGCAGACATCTCCTCAAAGCCCTGCTGCTTTGGGACCCTGAGCAGAAGAGAGCTGAAAGAACAGGTTCCCTGGCTTCCCCCACACAGCCCCCTGAGCACGAGGATGGGGGTCCTGTGAGCAGACCTACTGCATGGAGAATGTCTCTCCAGCAAGGCAGGACCATGGCTCAGGGGGCTGACAAGAGCATCTCCACATCTCAGCTACATGCCTTAGCTTTGCTGTCCCCATAGACCAGCTGACAAGAGCAAGTCCTGCTGTATTTCCTAGCTAACAGCATCCTGTGCTGAAGGCAGCCTGCCCAGCCACCCCAGAGCCACCAGTACCAGCACTGACTTCCAGGGATAGCAGAGAGCACCAAGAACTGGCTGAGCCTCTAAAGAAGGTTCAGACTGGCAGCCTGGCCCTGCCCCCCATACAACATTGACACATCAAGACCCCAGTCCCCACCTCAAGCAAGATAAAAGTAGTAATCTGTGTCTTCTAGCAGTGAGGGAGAATGTGATTTCTGTATTTTCAGGAGTACAGAAAAGCATACTGCACCTTTAGAAGAGAGGAGCTCTCCCTGCAGCAAGGCCAGCCTGCAGTCCCTCTCCACTCCATCCAGAAGCCTAGGGATCCATTCCACACCGTGGAGCTTGACTCTTGTTTGGCTGATTCCTTTTCCAGCCTCTGATTCTGAACATCACTGCATGACATTCCTTCCTCTGCTAAGCATCTTTCTAACTGTGACTGAAGAATCTGGCAAGTGACCAAGTATTCTTTAACCTCCACATTAACTATTGTTAGCTTTGGCAAAGCCCAGCTCCTGGGATGCCTGATGTGGTATCGCTTACTGCTGCAGCCCACAGGAACTGCTGTAGTGGCGAGATTCAGAGAACAGGGATCAGGTAGCAGATGCAAAACAGAGCTCTCACCCACGGTGCCCTGCATCCCCCACTGCCTAATGAGCTCTGGGAACAGCTACAACTTTTAAGCTCCTTACTTCTGCAAAAGGTTTGCAGACAGTGAATGTGCAGAACAGAGTCAGAGAAGCTGTAAGTTAGATGAGGCCAAATGCTACTTTTAGATCACCAAGATGTGTTGGTAACTTTGCAGCTCCATAGAGTGTTATTTATCTTAGGCATGGTGAGGAGATAGAGATGTTTGGCTCTAGCCAGCTGTGTCTGCTGGAAGATGGCACAGGCAGGCTGCACCGCCTCCTCAAACCTCAACAGAGCCCTCTTGGCTTGTACTCTTACTGCCACATTCCCAACAGTAAAGTTCTTAGTCCCACATCCCACTGCACAAAAACTAGGATATATCTTTCTCCCCTCATTCTCATGAGTAAGCCCAACCAGTGAAATCAGTTATGGCTGCTCTAAGCAGTGCCAGAGATGGTTCTTTAGCCCATTTTTTACTGCAGACTGCAGGCTTTGCAAAGCACCAGCCCCAGCCATATTCAGACAACCAAGTTCTACTGATGGCAGATCCTGTGCAGAAATGTCCACAGCCTTCATCAGGGATAGCTGAATTCAGGGACCAGACGGCAGGTTTTCTTAAACAGACTTTATGTTGCTTAATATAGCACACACTCTTCCTCAGTATCTGCACAACACTGAGTTGGAGATGTTCTGAGATTTGCACTGAGGAAGACTGGAGAGGTGGGAGAAAGGCTGCAGGAGGAATCATTTAAAAAGCAAGAGATGACTTTGGAGAAGCATCATCTGCAAGCAACAATCTCCTAACAGAGGACTGGCAATGCAGAGGCCTGGTTAGTAATGAAAACAAAATGTGAACCAGTGCATAGTCAGGCTATGCAGCTGCAAATCCATCCAGGATTAGCCTCAAAAGCTGAAGATGTGAAGAGTTGAGTCTGGCTCATAGCTTTCCTCCGGGGGGATGTCCTGCATTGTGCCTCACTGTACACCTACACAAAACTGCTCTGTGATCCCGTGCACCGCAGGCCTTCTTGTGCCACTCCAGCACTACCCAAGTCACAAAAACTACTTCAGTGCCAGCACAACTGGAGCCCTGCCGTGAGAAGGCTTCCTTTGCCTTCTCATTTATTCATTGAGATGCCAAAGTTCCCTGTGTATTTCCTTTATGGTCAACCCTGCTTTGGACCCATCTCATTTCAGTACCTTGATTTCTGCTGGGTTTGCTCTCAACAGCCCTTCTTTTTACATATAGGAAACTCAGTATTTGTTCCCTTCCCCTACCCCATGGAGGAAAATCTCTAGTAACAGCAAATTGCTCAGAATTTTTTTGCATCAAAATGAGTATTGACTCTTGGGCATGCCTCAATCCCACTACCCCACCACAGCCATGTACCCAGAAACATGGGCTGCTGCGGAGCCCATAAACACCAGTACCAGCAGCCCCAAAACCTGCCTCAGCAGACACTCACTGCCAATTCAGGCAGCAACTGCAGCATAACACAGGATAAGAGTTGGGCAACTCTCCTTCTGGAGGTGCTTTAGCCACCAGCTACCTGGATCCTTGTTTCATTGCAGATGTTTCCTTCCTGCTCCCTGCACAACTGCTCCAGCTACACGAGCTCCATCTGAAGTTCCACGGAGAGCCTTTTCCCTGCCCCTGTAGTGCATGACAAGGCACGCAGTGTGTTATACTCAAGTCACGGTCCATTTGTTTCTCATCAAGGCAAGTACCAACAGGACATTCAAAAGGCAAAGGTGGCTATCTCAGGTTAACTGTGAAAACAGCATGGAGAGTACAAAAAATCTCTAGCGCTAACATGACTGCTGTGAGCTTTTTAATTTAAGTAAAGTCTTCGCAGATACGCCTTCTTAAGAGGTACTTACGTGTTCCCCAAGCCCTGGTATGTTTATTGATCACTGCCCACAAGAAACTGTACTTCATAGGGCATACTGCCTCCTTATGATTGAAATAGCTTCCTTCCTTAATCAGCATATAATCAGATATTCCCACACAGGAGAACTATAGCCCTGATTGACAAGATAGTTACAAAAATAAACCCCAAGTTTAAATATAGTTTGCTCATCTCCCTGGAAGGTATGTAGTATTGTGTTATACAAGTCTACCATAATTTTCCTTGAATGAATATAGTCCATATTGCCCCACTGCCCTGATCACTATCAATTAAACTGCTCACAGATCTGTGTTGTACAGGAGAGCTGGCAGCTATGTTGGGTGGGAATGGCAACTCGCCTTTCCTCTGCATGCACTGACTTACCATCAGTACTTCACTGGCAATTAAAACATACAGGCTTTGAGTTCACGTACCAGTTGAATGTGTGATTTCCAGTGCAATTGTAGAGATGGATAGGTAAATAACTGTGCAGGACCACACAGCTATGTATGGGAACAAAATGCATATGCTCAACCTGAAGGGATATACGTGGATGAGATATCTCCGTATGCAAACACGCAAGCTAGCCAGGCAAGATTTAATTATCTCCTCTTTCCAGGGTGGACAGTTCAATAGCACAATACTCATTGCATTTCTTCCAATCTGTCAGGATGTTCTGATGTATTAAATATGCAATGTAACGAGGGCAGAGCTCTATAGCCCTGATCTCGTTTAAGAAAAAAAGAAAAATGAGATTTATTTTTTTTAAACCCATTCTAATCATAAAATGCTTTTCATCTGTTAAAAACCTCCCCATTGCTGACTGGCTAAAAATCATGGGACAGACCTCATATTTATTATGCAAATCCTTAGCATTAAGAAAACAAATCACTAACTAACATCCGTCTCGCCCTAAAGGAAAATAAATTTACAGAACCAGGCACCTCTCCCCTCACTCCGTGGGCAGCGGGCCGAGCAGCCCGCGGCTCGGCAGGGACGCTCCCCGCGGGTGCTGCAATGTCCCCAGCACAGCGGCAGCCTCGGCCGCCCGGCCCCGCACCAGCCCGGCCACTGCGGTCCTTCCGCCGCCGCCCCCCCGCGCCCGACCCACCTTTCCCTTCCATCGCGGAGCCTTGCGAGCGCCGGCAAGTTGCGGGAAGACGCGCACCCTCCTCAGCCGAGAGCCCGGCGGGCAGAGCCGGCCGCCTCTGCCTCGCTCCGCGGTGGGGACGGCGCTGTCACAGCCCCGGAGCTGCAAGCAAGCAAGCAAGCGGCGGGGGGCACGGCGTGAGCGGCCGGGCCCCCCCGGCCCCGCGGGGAGCGGAGCGGAGCGGGGCTGGGCGCGGGGGGAGCGCGTTACCTGGCGGGAGCTGTCCCTGGCCGAGCGGTGCTGCGGGGGCGAGTGGCTCCGCGGCCCGCCGCGCTGCCTGGCACCGCCCGCATGCGCGCCCCGCCCGCGGCCCGCGCCCCGCCCCCGCACCGCGGCACCGCCGGGCCCGGCTGCGGGATCCGCGCCGCGCACACACAGCGGCTGTGGGAACCGGCCCCGGCCGCGCACGCACAGCGGCTTTGGCTCTGGGAACCGGCACCGGCCGCGCACACACAGCGGCTCCGGGCTCGGGGAACCGGCACCGGCCGCGCACACACAGCGGCTCCGGGCTCGGGGAACCGGCACCGGCCGCGCACACACAGCGGCTCCGGGCTCGGGGAACCGGCACCGGCCGCGCACACACAGCGGCTCCGGGCTCGGGGAACCGGCACCGGCCGCGCACACACAGCGGCTCCGGGCTCGGGGAACCGGCACCGGCCGCGCACACACAGCGGCAGCGCTCGGTGCTCAGCGCGGGCACCGGCAGCGCCGGCAGAGCTCCCGGGCCGGGCCGGGACCCCGCAGCCGTGCGCCCGCAGCCCCGCTGCTGCAGGAGCGCGGCCGGTCCCGCAGGTGCCCCGCAAACCCCCAGACCACAACTCCCACACGGGCGGGTCGGGGAGAGCGCTGCGCTCGCCCCCAGCCTCCCTGATCCTGAGCCACGCTGAGCTCGCACACCTGCGAACTCGGAGAGGAGCTCTCGGGAGATGCCCGGACTCAGGTTCAGGCCTTCCCTGGATGTGTTGTTTCAAGATTAATTATGCTGATTCATAAAACGTCCACCTCTTGGCTAGTTTATGCTTTTCCACCTTTGCATCCAGCCACTGGATTTCATTCCTGCATTTCACTCATCCTCCAACTCATTAATAAAATAAGCAGTCCCCTGCTAATAAGTTGATAAAACATTGATACCAGGATCAAGTCACTTTTTTTTGGAGAACAAAGAGTTCTCTCCTGTTACCAGGGATGTTCCACTTTGTCCGTGGAATTACCTCTTAAATTTTTTTTTCAGATTTTAAACTTTTGTGCAATGGGGATGGTAAAACCCAGTTCTGCGTTTATGATTTGTGCTACTGAAAAAGCAGCTCATGGCATCCTGGGAGCTACACGAATAGAGGATAGATGGCTCCAGCACGATCTAAGTTTCTAAATACAGGAACAGTAACTCCTCTCTTTTACTGTTCCTGTTTACATCCGGGTGTTCAGATCTTCCCTTCTTACCTAGGACTGGCAAAACACTCTAATTACATGGTCTCTCATTCTGAGCTACTGCAAAACATCCTGAGGACACTACCTAGGGGCATTCACATCCCAAAGCCATACCCTGAGTTTGGTTATGGAGGTGAACACTGCACACATCATTCCCAGGCAGTTCAGAGCAGTACCTGCTCCAATCTCAGCTGCCACCCCACAAGGTGCCAGGGCACTTAAGTTAGAAACCGCCCAGGATGAAGACCCAGCACATAAAATCCACATTTTAACTGGCTCCTATCCATTTATTAGGTCCTACACTATTAAGAATGACATTAGGGTTTTTCATCTCAGGACTGAATAGTCAGGTACTGTAGGCAAGCTGTGAGTCAAACTGTGCTGTAGAGAACTGATGAAACAGACTTAGAAACTGAAGATGCAACAGACATTTACTTTGACCTTCTAGTCAAATCATCAATTCTTTCTTTGACTGATGTGGGATCCTATTTCCCTGTTGCTGTGTCTTTACCCACCATCAATGCCAAACTCACTCAACTACACTTCCAGGGTCAATCTGTGTGCTTTTTCTGAAAAGCAATGAAACAATGACTCATTCAAGGTCTGTTAGTTCTCACTAACATTTCAAAATACAATCAGATTATACACGAGAGTGCTCCACAACTCCTCAGCCGGTTTTTTATAACTCTTGGATTCAAATTATCAGCTCCCACAGATTAAACATCAGGCAAAATCTCAAAGGACATTAAAGTTCCTGGCATCCAAGTTCAATAACAATTTTCAACAGATAGGCATAGAAATACCCTAACTTTTTTTTTTTTAGGCACAGAAATACCCTAACTTTTAAGGTGCAGCCAGGCTGTTTACCAAGAGCACAGTCTGAGGCACCACTTGTAATAGCAGGCACTGGACCAGTGAACCAAGAGCCTCATTTCAAGGCTGTGCAATCCCTGGAAAGCTAACAGCCATCAATAACTCAGCTTCACTGAGAAAGCTGGGCAACAGCTCCTAGCTGAAAGCATCAAGCTGAGCCCCACTGCTTGTCAGCAGAATATGAAAACCAAGTTTCTCTAATGTAGGAAATGTATTTTTCCAGTGTCCTGACAGGATCAGCCATAATGTGTTCCCCACTGGCAAAGGCAGGTTGAGGTTTGGGGTTTTTTTGGAGGTTTTGTCAAAGGAGGGGGACATTAATTAGCTGTTCAGAGATCTTGCTTTTGCAGAGCAAGGCAAAATTAACATTTTGTTTTTGAGATGTGAAGCATTTCTTCCTTTGAGATAACAGAGGGTAGAAACATAGAACATCCAAACAGAACATCCAAACCCTCTAATTCACACATTCAATTTTCAATCACAGTTTATCAGGGCTTTCTGGGTCACATCTGGGACATCACAATTTCTCTTCCAAATCACAAAACCATCACAAGGCCTTAAGATGCACATTCTTAAAAAGCCAGCTTGAAGAGAGAAGTCCCTCCCTTTGCTCCTTCAAGGCTTCCCTCCTCAATGCAAAGAAGCAAATTCAAGGGAATAAATCCAGTGAATATTTTCCCTCCCTTGCCATTTACAGGTCATCTTTCAAATTACTTATCAGTAGAGAGAAATATGATATTGCCTGTGCTCTATTCTACATTAAAGTACATCCTGTATTAAAGTTTCAAGCAAGCTGGACCAGCTCAAGTTAGATCACTGTTTCTCCTTTAGTCCCTCAGGAAAGTCTGATCCTACTCTGGCTTTGCAAGTATCAAGCATCAAATAACACCACACACATTAATGGCATCTCAGTAGTGCATCGAGCTCTTCCCCAAACCACAGCAGGAGAATGCATTGCAGCACTCAGGAGGTGCAGATGTGCTGAACCTGGAATCTTTACTACTCACACCCCTCAGCCAAGATGGAAGAACCACCTTTGAAGCTCTGCTGTGCTGTATGGAGCCCACAGGGCTGCCAGGGCTGCTTCCCTCACATGCTCAGGCTTTGGGAGTAACCTGAAATCACAGTACAACCAACAAAGTGGCTCAATCCAAGCAAAAACCACCTTGTGCAGACCCTGCTCTCCCAAAACACCTCAGCATATCCTTGACCCGTGTCACGGCAAGGACATGGCTATTTGGGAAAGGCAGAGTTACTCCTTCTTGATCTTAGTTCTGAGTGGTTTTTGTGGGGCTGCAGACACAGGGTTTCTTCATGGCCACCTGTATTGCTGTTTGATCAGCAGGGCTCTTGCTCAGCCTGTGCTGCTGAAGACCTGCCCTCTCCACCAGACTGACCCACTCTGAAGAGCAGAGAGCTGTCCCCTGTTCCCAGGGATGGCAGGACATGCAAGGTCCTACTGCTGGAGGCAAGGCTCACAAAGAGCTCAGCCTGTACAGGTGAGAGGGAGCAGCAAAGGCTCAGCTTGGCTGCTCCAGATAGAAATAGAGAAGTTCCCTGGCCCTACAGCCCTTGAGGAGCCTGCTGCTCCCCACCTTGATGGTGGATGCTCACTGCCTGCCCTTGCACCTTTCCATAAGCTGCCAGCTTAGAAACAGCCCTGACCACAGACAGGATAAGGACAAGTGGCCATTTTGGCATTGCTGCAGATTGTAAGTCCACATGATGATCATGCATGGTGTCCCAGCTGCTGCTGCTCCTGCCCATCTGCTGCCCTGGCACAGAGCCTCCTTCTCTAAGAGGGAACCTCCATTCCCAGGGGCAGAGACACCAGACAGCCTGCAAAATGTGCAGATAGCCACACATGCTGCCATGGGCTACTTCTGCATGGGGCTGGAAGTGCCAGGAGGGAGCAGATTGCCACTGGGGGGATATCACCTGCCCAGCGCCAGTTTCTGGGGATGACCATCCAAAATGGAAACAAAGGCAAAAAGGCACAGTCTCAAGGGCCCGGTGACCCACTGGCTTCTATAGCAAGCTCTGCACAAAAGCAGCCACAAGTCAGCTTTGCTTTCATTTCAAGAGAGTGCAAATTGAGGTACCAATGTTTCAGCCTGTTTCCAAACTGCCCAGAAACCAACTTCAGCACCCAAGTAAGAATTCCCAACCAGACAGAGCTGCTCTCACTGCAGGCAACAGAATATCACTTCTCCTAAACGAGGTTTAAAGACCATGTTTCTTAAAGGAAATGGACAGCTCAATCAAAAAGGAACTACCCTGAGCTCTGGCCAAGAGGGAGAAGTAACTACAAACCTGGATATTTAGAGTGGGTCTGACCTCAAAGCCAGCTGCAATGGCAAGCAAGAATCAGCTAAGTTCTTCTTAAAGTCCTTTTTTTGACCTCTGAAGCATCTATCCAAAGCTACCAATGGGCATTGTTAGCTAGCTACCATCACTAGCCAGCAGATTCCTTAAGGACAGAAAGAGAAATCAGCTCTGTACCACACCATGCTCAGAAGATTCCACGTGCCATGAGCTGGGCTCAGATAAGCACAAGCCAGAGCAGCAGGTTCCAAGAAAGTAGGCCATGACACAGCAGCAGCAGGAAGGACCTCTAACAGTACTGAGAAAGCAAGGAACACAGTGGGGAGGGAAAGAGGAGTAAACAGAGACCATAACTCTTTAATAATATAGGTAGAGTAAAATACAAAATCATTTTTACAGACTTCAATCCGTCACCCTGAGAATGATGTACATAAGTTCTGATTATGAACAAAACACAAATGATTACTACATCACCTCCTTACATCACCCAAGTAGTTGCTAGAAGCAGAAGTAGTGCGTTAGGAACTTCAGTGTGAAATAAAGACCAAAACCACAACCTTTGAGCTAGCTCAGAGTTTAATTACATAAAATTATTGATTAAATGTTATTGAGATTAATCAGTCAGTATTTTATTAATAAAGGAAAAACACTAATGTCCCAAAAGTACCAAAACAAGGGAGAGGTTTTGCAA